TGCTTCTCAAAGTCAAGGATGCTTCCTTGGTAGGATGAGTCCTTCCAGGTAGGATCCTACAGAGGCTAGGCAAGACTCCTTTGATGAACACACACAGGAACAAGATAACGAGCACCCAAGTGTGTGATATTGAAGAGGCCTCACCTTCAATTATGGCAGAGAATTGTGGGTACTTAATGCCTGCTGAGGATACACGCATGCATCCTTGAAAATCCTCTGAAGGAAGGACTCTTTCCTCGGTAGATCCTTGACATTGGAGCAGTCCTTTGGTGGGATTCAGTGATGTAGCCTCCTTGACATTCAGACATGTAAGGACCCGTCCTTGACTTTGAGAACCTGTGGAGATATAAACGTGTCATTCTGAGGTAACAACAACACAGTGACTCTCACTCATAGCTGATTACACACTAAAGTAAACAGACTCCATCTTTTCCTCCTCGTTGATCATCAGATCGTCACAGATAATAATTATAATAATAATGTCAGTGTAGCACATCTCCTCTCCTCCCAGTACATATCGGACTGATCGCATTACTCCTCAGAGTGTGTGTGTGTGTGTGTGTGTGTGTGTGTGTCATAGTGTGTTTTTAACCATAAGTGTGAGTGTGTGTAGTTGGTATGTTGCAATGTGCCAGACAGTCAAGTGTGAGGTTGTCTTGGGATGATAGAATAACGCCGACCAAGACACTCTGAAGCCAAGAGCACGACCCGCCTGAGTGTGTGTGTGTGTGTGTATGTGTGTGTGTGTGTGTGTGTGTGTGTGTATGCCCAATAAATTTAACTTACTCATATCATAGTGTTACTTATCAAGTAGTGGCATGAGTTCACCAACGAAATGACATTTGCTGGCATCCTGTCTGCCCAGTCATATGTGTGTATTTCTGTGAGTGTGTGTGTGTGTCTAGGTATCAGTGTGGCCGTTTTTATTTCTTAAAGCAACTACAAAGAGTTTTTAACTGGTTATGAAACAGTCCCAGGTCAGATTCTGATTTACGTCACACAGACAGAAAGAGGCTTCATCTTCCCAGGAAAAGTTTGGCAGTGAACATGTGAGCCAGTCAAAAGGAAGCAGGAGGAGGTTTTTCTTTAGAGAATTTTATTTTTGATGTTATATTTTGTGGTTGTGACCGATACTGCGGCAGGATCAGCATAGAGGAAAAAAAGCAACTAAAAGAGACAGTGATAGAGCACGGGCAAAAACACAGTTAACCATCTTTAACCTTAATAAATGTCGTCAGGATACGTTTCTGCAAACCAATCAGGTTTAAAGCGACTACAAGCAGCTTTCATTTAGTGTTGATTTTAGCGGCCCCTGTGGACAAAAGAGGTAGTGTTTCCACGAGCGCCACCGCCTCATGTCGTAAAGACGTTAATCTGGCTTGTGTGCATTTATTCTTGGAGCGAGGAAAAGAAAGACTCAACTTATTTTTAATCTGATTTTTCTTTTGCAGGTTGAACAGAAATGAGGTGATATAATGACTGCGTTTCAGCCACCAAAGTAAATTCATTAATCGATGTAAACCATGTGTCATAATTTGTATCCTAAATAAAATACACATATTATGAACATGTCTAGGAGGAAGAAGACTGATTCAGGATTCAGATCCTGCATATTGTATGCAGGACTGACGTCCAGTCGCCAGAAGAAAATATTGTAAATGTACGTTTCTGCAAACCACAAATACGTTACATTTGTACGTTGTAATGTAATGAAACATTAAAACTTGACATTTCTTTACGTTTGAACAGTGCTGTGGGTAATGTGTTCAGTTCAGGCACAAAATCCACTTGGTTATGGTTTGGAAAAGATGACATTTCAGCTTAATGTACCTGGTTTTCGGGGACATTGTGGTGGCAGGACAACCACCCCTGTCTGAGGGCTGAAAAGCAGCTGGAGACACAGCAGCTCTTCTTGTTTGTCTCCAGCAGTGGTCTGCTGCTCGGCAGATGTTTCACCCAGGTGACACACCATGAGACGTTGATGTGATCCATATGAAATGTACAAATGTAACATATTTGTGGTTTGCAGAAACATACATTTACAATATTTTCTTCTGGCGACTGGACGTCAGTGTACAGTATGCAGGATTTGAAGTCTTCTTCCTCCCAGACGTGCATAATATGTGTATTTTATTTAGGATACAAATTATGACACATGGTTTACATCGATTAATGAATTTACTTTGGTGGCTGAAACGCCGTCATTCTATCACCTCATTTCTGTTCAACCTGCAGACAGCTGTGTTTAAAAACAGAAAAATCAGATTAAAAGTAAGTTGCATCTTTCTTTTCCTCGCTCCAAGAATAAATGCACACAAGCCAGATTAATGTCTTTACGACATGAGGCGGTGGCGCTCGTGGAAACACTACCTCTTTTGTCCACAGGGGCCGCCAAAATCAACGCTAAATGAAAGCTGCTTGTAGTCGCTTTAACCCTTTGAAACCTGGAGTGACATCACTTTTCGTGTGCTGCTTTCAGACGCCTTTCGCAAGTATTTCAACCTTTGTGCAGTCCCTGAGCAAACTGGTGCGATTCCTTAAAAAGACAATGAGCAACTTGGCAAGAAATGTCCCACAAATTGCAAAAAAAATGAATAGATTTGGACTGATTTATTTTTAAAAGGAAAAAGCTAGGGGGAACTTTATTAATTACAATTATTGTTATTTTATTTTTTATTTTATTTTATATTAGTTTAAAGTTATGTTACAGAATTATTCTACATTTTAAGCACTCTTTGCAGGTCATTTCCTCGTTTGTTTGTTTTTAACTTTACCTTTTTTTAAACTGATTTTCTTGTTTTAATGACCTCATTCTACTCATTTCTTCTTGTGCTGCTCACTGTCTACTTCACATTTTTTTTAAAGCAATCAAGCCAGTTTGCTGTCAGGTTTAAAGGGTTAAGCAGGTTTGAAACCAAATGAACTTGGTCAAAATACTTCAACAAAAACAGGAGAAAATTAAAATTACAAATACGTATTCACAGTAACAGATATCTGTTGGCTGCAGCTTCTCAGATGTGAGGATTTGCTGTTTCTCTGTTTTATATCTCTGTAATTTAAATGTCTTTATCGTTAGGACCGCTGGGTGGAAGCACCAAGACGTCATCTTGGGCTGTGGGAGATTGTGGTTTCACTATTTTACAGTTCATTAATGAAGCAAACAGTGACTTAGAGATGAACTGACAGTGAAAACAATCATGAGCTGCAGCCACAGTTGCTTTAAAAACTGTCTCAGCATTAAACCTGACACAATCCAGCGTCAGCATCATCGCACTTCTTCTCTGTGATGAAGACTTGAGAGTTTGAACATGAACACGTGTGCACACTCAGACTGTTTCTCAAATTAAAAGTGCCCACGATGACACATTTCCTTAAACACCGCACACACGTTCACTCAGCTCCATGTATCTGAGCGCTGACGCATCATCAGCCTGCGGACCAATGACCGAACAGAATGTTCGCCCACTGACCAGTAGGAGGGAGGAATGCTGAACGTTGGAGCAGGTGGTCGAGGAAGTCTTGAGTTTCAGCTGGGGGATTTTGGTGTGTGTGTGTGTGTGTGTGTGTGTGTGTGTGTGAGTGTGTGTGTGTGTGTGTGTGTGTGTGTGAGTGTGTGTCTTCATACCCTCTGCTCATGTCTGCAGGCAGCAACACTATTTCTGTCTTCAATCAAATGTATCCTATTACCCTCCTCCTCCTCCTCCTCCTGTGGTCACCAGAAGTAAAAAACTAACATTAGGCTAATAACAAACTACACCATGGCCACATGACTTTAACGTCTCCACCACAACAAGGCTGCAAAGTCGTGTTCAGTGTGATGATGTTCTGTAGTATCATTTAGTCTCATTTAGCCACTTGTTAGCAACCGTCTATTTAAAGACACATAAAAGCTTCTAAATAAATGAGTGAGGTATTTTCTAACGTATTTTATGTTGTGGAAAAAAGATGAAAGTCTCTTCAGCTTGTGTTGACAGACAGACCTTATTTCAGACATCTCACCAGAAACCTGTTGACTCTGAGGCGAGGGAACAGGAAGTGCAAACATGGCGACTCATTTGTGGGTTTTAGGACTCGTTCCTGCAGGTTCTGATCCAGGTAAAGGGGCAGAATCTCAGCCAGGTTCAGATTCAGCTGGCTTGAAAACCAAAGTACAAAGAACATGGCTACCAGGATGAACCTACTCTCAAGTTCAATCTGTGCTGGTGTTTGTAATGAGAGAGCCTTTCCCAAACCGCCTCCTACACCCTCTCCCTATCCACTTCCACTCTGTCTCTGCGTTCACACGGAGGCTCCACCACATTAAGTGCTGTCCCAAACCAACTAGTGAGGAGTGGAAGTGAGTTATAAAACCCTGCAACAGTGAGACTGTGTCGATGCCAACTCACTGACCGAACTGTGTTCGTCATGGAAGAAGCTCTGTACAAATAAAGTGCTGTGCGACTATCCTGCAGAGTGTGAACTATTCCAACTAAGATAGACATTTAATATTGTCATACAGATGTTAACATCTTAAATGCTACATTGTATTTGGGATCAAACATACACCCCTCCAGTCTCTGTGAAATGATAGTTGTTTATTTTACAATAAAAAGTAACAGGAACTGTTGCAAAACTGAGCAGCTCATAAACATCAGACTGAAAAACAAGATGTTTACAAGAGTGAAAGACAAGAAATGTCACCAATCAACAAAGTTTTATTCCCTTTTATGTATTTGTTTATTTATTTGTTTCATTTGTTTGTTAGCAGCAGAGGGATAATATATGCTGCCAAAATAGTGTTAACCAGCAGCATGAATCCAATGAAAGTGATATAAAAACATATAAAAACAGAAAATGGGAGTCATTTTATTCCATGGTTCCCAAATATAAGGGCAGCTCCTTTGTCTGCTGCAGAGATCTAAGTGTGTCCCAGAGCTTGCCACTGTGTTTACAGCCTACACCCTGATGTAGGGAGCCTCATTTAGCTGTTAAGGTGACTACAAATGGAGTGACACTCCGAGATGGAGTGGGAGTGGGTAGGGTCCGGTTATACTGTAGAAAGGCTGGTGGGAACAGGTGAGCAGGGGAATGAGGTAGTCAGGTGACAAAGTGTGAGGGCGTCTGGTGGACAGGTTGGGGATGGCAGTTAATGGCTTTAATGGTTTCTGGTTGGAGAGGGGACACAGAGGCAGAATGAGACAGAGATGCAAAATACAGTTTGAAGTCTGTTCGTACTCTAAAGACTATTGGCTGATATATTGTTACTCCAAAGTGTTTATTTCAGTATAAAACTCAAAAGTCCAGTATTGGTCGGGCTGTAACAGAAGGCTGGGACACTCTGGGAAATGTAGGAAATCAATGACCGAAGGAGAAGCAGGTGAAGCAGGTCGTCTGAAAGACGACAGAACACAAAGTACATTATAACACAAAACAGCAAATGAGCATTAGTCACCACAGACTGAGGTGTGACGGCTTCTCAAGGCAAAAGAATCAGCTCAAAGATCAGAAGCTACCAAGTTTTGTTATGCTGTGTTTTTCCATCCAGGCTGAAGTTCCCGTCGGACCTGGACGAGCTGCGGGACCTCGCAGACACGCTCAGGTTTTATAAAAGAGAACATTACGGCTTCGTCCTGCTGCTGTACTGCAGCGCCTACCTCTACAAACAGTCCTTCGCCATACCTGGCTCCTCCTTCCTGGTGAGACTCACACGATTAAATGATCCTGACAGAACCTGAAGATACTAACGCTGGTTTCACACAAAGAGTTTGACACAAATAACTTTAGTGCGTCCCTCCCTCCCTCCTTCAGAACATGTTAGCTGGTGCGATCTTCGGGCCCTGGGAGGGTCTGCTGTTGGCCTGCATGCTCTCTGCGTTTGGCTCCATGTTCTGCTTCCTGCTCTCCTCGACGTTTGGAAAGCAGCACGTGGTTCAGCTCTTCCCGGAGAAGGTGGCGCTGCTGCAGAGCAAGGTAGGCGTCTCCACCCGCTGAACAACTGAGGCTGCGCTCACACTGCAGATGTGTTTTTCAGATCAGATCTTTAAGACAGACTGTCTGATCAGATCTGTGTCCAGACATCACCAGCATATCTGCAGTGTTTGCAACGAAGGTGTTGTTGACGCAGGTTTCCAATGTGGAGGCAGGTTCATCTTTTCGCCCTCTCAATAATCACACTGTCAAGTCGCGATGTAGCCAGGAAGCAGTTTATGTCAGCACCTGTCCACGGACTCCGTGTTGATAATAATAACAATAAAAATAATAATGCATTTTATCTGAGGCGCCTTTCAGAGCACTGAAGGACTGAAGACACAGTTATAAACAAGCAGTGATGTGTTCACAGATCATACAGTCAGTAATCAGTAATATACAGTAAATAACTGGAAAAACTACTAATTATAAATTTTGTACAAAGTCATATCAGCGTGCAGCTGAGTGTCCTGGGCTCACTACCTGAATAATTAATTAAACAATAAACGTGACAGAAGACGGTGTAACAGCTCCACCAACAGCTGCCCATTTATTTTTCTTCACACAAAAACTCTCACACTTGCATGAGTCCCTTAAAACAGCAGAATGTCACCCCAAAGCTTTTTTCTGCCCTACGGCAACTCAAGAGGGACATACAATATAGAAGAGTCTGTTACATTAGTGTCAGACCTTTAACATCACAGACCAAACAGTCGCGTGTCGTCCAGCTGTTCAGTTACTTTTTTGAACAGGTCACCATCCCGTGTTTTCCTTCCAAACATGTATGTTAAAATATTTAACTCTCTCAGCTGACACATCATGACCTGTGTCTCCTGCTCCGTCCAAAAAGTCACAGCTCTGGATGTAGATTTCTCCATGTTGTTACCGGCTTCTTCTTCTCTTACACATTTAATGCTATTGGACTTCCGGGTCAAAGCCCGGGGCGGAAACTGTGGAGCATGCTCAGAGCGCCTCGGCCAGTTTGGGTCTGATTAGGACCATTTCAGTCACACTAACATGTTTACAGGGATTTTAAAGCCCAGTTTTAGTCAGACTGACACAATAAACCTCCCTGCTGCAGATTAGGAGACTTGTGTTATTGAAGAAAATCCGCTAACAGTCCCGCTAATTCAGCGCTAAACACATTTCCTGTAGAGTCTTTACAAGAAAAGTCTCCTGTTCTTTTGTTGTGTCAAAGCTTTTATTGTGAAGCAGCAAAATAAAGGAAATGTTGAGTTTTCATTAGCAGGAACTTTACAGACTGCTGTGCGGCTGATAGCGAACATGAAACAGTAAACTGACTCTCCTCCCCTGCAGACAGAGGCGAGGAGAGTCTCGCAACACACCCGGCTTGTTCGAGGGGGAGAAGGGAGGTCGTTGGGGGTGGCTGCGATCGGCGAGACGGCCTTGCTACCTGCTCGGAGGCGGTCTAGAGCGCTTTTGGCTCCACTCTAGAGATGGTCCATCTCTGGAGGAGATCGGTGCGTCCTAACTGATAATGGAAAGACTAATTGGCACAGCGTGGTTTGACTCGCCGCGGTCAAAAGCGGAAAAAGGTTATTAGTGTAAGTTTGACAGTTGGAGGTGATTTTTGTTTTTGCGTTTTGCAGCACGGACTTATGATAATGAACAATATGTAATAGAGGGGTTTTTGTTCTACTTGTATGCAGTTTAGTCTGTTCCTCTCTCAGGAACGTGGAGACGCTCTGTGACTGCTTTCATCTACTTTTTCTCTCCTCATCTTTGTCCTCTCGTCTCATCTTCCTCCCTCTTCCTCCTCTGTCAGGCTGAAGAAAATCGCAGCAGTTTGTTCTTCTTCCTCCTTTTCCTTCGCTTCTTCCCTATGACTCCAAACTGGTTCCTTAACATCACCTGTCCCCTCCTCAACATCCCTTTGCCCATTTTCTTCTTCTCTGTGTTCATAGGTGAGACTGCACGCACACACACACACACACACACACACAGATGAAACACACACACATGCAACACAAACAGTGATGACTCAGCTGCTGCTTTCTCCTCCAGGTTTGATCCCCTACAACTTCATCTGCGTCCGTACGGGCTCCATGCTCTCAGAGATCTCCTCCATGGATGATATCTTCTCCTGGGGGACGCTGGCTCAGCTCCTAGCCATCGCTCTCGTGGCTCTGCTCCCCGGAGCGCTGATCAAACACTACAGCAAAACCCACCTCAAGATGAACGGCATGGAAAGTAACGGACCCAGCCAGGCTGACGTCAAGCAGGAACGGAAGAGACGATGATTCTGGGGTAAAAGAGGAATCGACAGGTTTGGGATTCCCAAACACAAACTGAAGAGACCTCTCTGCACGGGGAGGCATGTGACCTTTTGTGCACTTCAGCCTTGTGATTTCTGGAAGGTCACAGCAAAGGCTCGTCATACTTAAAGTATGATCTGCTGTGAAAGTTTGGAAACGTCTTCAGGTCGTGTTACGCCAGGTTTCAGTTTCCCAGAGATCTCTCAGTGCCAACACACACAGAGCCAACGCTTAGGAGATGATTGGACATAATTGACTGAATACACTTCTGCATTTCTTGCTCAGTCCACTGTGACTGCAGTTGTAAATTTGGACCTTCTGTCCAGTGTGTTTCCATTGTGCCACAATATTACTAGAGCCTTAAAAGTAATTTGCTCTGTGCACTAAACACAGTGTAGAGCTGCACAGGAAGCTCCACTGACCCTGCTGTGGACAAATGTGTTCTTAAACCCACTGGATATACTTAGAGCACGGAGATCAGACAACCAGCTACACAATAATGTCTCTTCTCCTCACGTATGTTTACTCACTTTGCTGCTGTTACAGTTCCAGGAATTGCATGGACAAGAAATGTTTTAGCACATTTGGACTTCTAAATGTCTCAAGATTGTCTCCATGTGGTTCAACATGTCTTAATGTAGCTGTCGCTGTATTCACAGATGGGTTTTAGAGCTCTGTGCACGTCAGCTGTGATCCTCTCATCACGGCCTCAACACAGTCTCTCAACTCATTCGCTTGGATTTTACAGTCGGCCTCTGCAGGTCTGCAAACAGACGAGTCAGTTTATGACCTCACCTCATCACTGAACAGGTTTTACAGTGTAGATGCTGTTGGATGTTCACATGCATGGTGGTGTGTCATGATACTGGACTGTGATACACAGTAATATCAGCACGTAGTTGGCATCAGCTTTAAAGTGAACTGTCACAATCAGCCAACGTGCTTTTTCTTATTTTGCACAATGAATGAATATTACATACGTGAACAGTATTTCATGTCTCCATCTGCTGGTGATGATGAGAGCATGCATGATATGATGTTTGCAAATCAAATCAAACTGTATTTATAGCACCTGTCATACACTCATGAAGAAAAAAAAAATCCCCAACAGAAGAGACTTGATCATCACCAAAAAAGCCAATATATTGATATTGGTTATTGGCCATATAAGTTGTTATATGTTGGCATATTGGATATCAGCAAAAAAAAAAATCCATTATGGTGCATCCCGAAAAATATTGATATTCAATATTGTTATGGATACCACACGGAAAGTTGATGTTGAGGACATACAAATAAAACTTTTATCAAAAGACAAATATGACGAGGCTCAGGGTGTCGTGATGAATCAATATGGATGATAGCTGGTTCTTAAAAATGACATAGCGTCATCCTGCAAATCAATCAGCTCTTAAACCAACCGAAGCAACTGGATCAAAGTGAGTATTAAACCAAAGACAGCGAGCTGATCACATCTCCTGCTATGGCGTCTGTGGGCGGCTCATTCTGAACTTATATAAAAGCCATCACAGTATGTAATATTCATCCATTGTGCAAAACAAGAAAACCATGTTTGCTGATTCTGAGAGTTGGTTTTAAAGCCAATATCAGCTGATACTGATGACGTGCCGATATTATCGTGCCTCCCAAACTGAAGCTGATCCTTTCACCTCCCAAAGGAAAAATTAAGTTACTCTGCATGAGTGTTACATTTGGATACTGATGAGACGATCGCTGCTCGTGCTGCTGTGAATTTTGTGGCCTTTAACTGAGCGTGCTGATGCACTTTATATCTGTTTCTGTCAGTGTAACTGATTCACTGTTTCAGTTTGAAATCGTATTTTTTTTTTTTTTGAATCAGTATTTTGCAGAGACTCTGTAGAGGATAGTCTTAAACTGTAGCTTCTCATCAAAAACATAAAAACTTAGTGGTTTGCTCTAAATTCAGGTTCCACTGATGGTCTGAGTCATTCACTGTTTCATTCAGAGGTGTTTCTGATGAACTTGATACGTAGTATTTTGGATATCACATCACATATTGTAGCCTGACAGTGGAGTGAAGTCCTGGATTTTTACAGTGGTGTCACATTTTGTTTTTTAATTTTTAGAAACTGTGGCTCTGAGTTTGGTGGTTCCACTGTTGACTTTCATGAACATCACGAACACGCAAAGTGCCAAAAAATTAATAAGTGCAAGAGTTTTTTTGATCATCACAGTCCAGAGGCAGTCTTACCAGAGCAAGTAAAAAAAAGATTTTTTGTTTGTGAAAACGTTGCTTTAGGTTTTAAAGGCCTTGTGTTGATGTCAGGATTTTTGTTCTCCTCTTTGACCAAAAAAGTTTAAGAAAAAAAAAGTGACAAATCTGCTCAGGGGAGACGAGATCTTTAAAAATCTTTTCTTTCTTTTGTTTTTTTTTTGTTTAATTTTACCCAACATGTGCACAAAGCAGTTTTTTTTTTTGGGGGGGGGTGTAATGAAATAAAAAAATCTGTAATTTCTGCTGAATGTTGCATCTTTTTAATTTCAGTCTGAAACAAATGCTTGTTTGCGATCATGTGACTATTATGACGGGCAAAATTCAGACAGAGTGCAGGAAGTGATGAATCTGTACACTGTGTGAAATAGACATACAGGAAAGCAGCAACACAACAGAGCTGGATGAAGCAGGTAAGCCATGTTGAATGTGATCCATACGAATTGAACAAAAGTGAGTTTCCCCACAACTTGACTGATTTGCCATCATCATCACGATCATGTGCTGCACCCATCCTACAGTGACTCCTTCCTGGCCACAGGTGAATCAGAGGGCAGTCTTCAGGCCACTGTAGAGGAAGAGTTCAGCTTCAGCGTGTCAACACCTTGAGATCTGAATCTTCCACTGCCTCACCTCTGCCCCCTCTGCAGCCACGCCTTACACCCTGAGGGACGGGCCCCAGAGGACCAGGGCCGCCCTTTGCCAAAGGGACACAGTGAAACTTTCACCCTTCAAACTACGGCAAGACACCAGAGTAGCCAGAGCTGCTGTGGTGGCACAAATTTAGGCTGACCCAGTTTAATTTAACACAGTTTGTACTCTTCACTCTTCAAAGAAAAAAACAAAAACAACAAAATGTATTTGCACTGATTTCTCTAGATCCATTTATCTTCGACTGCGTTTATATTATCCATAGCAAAGTATTTATTTATTACTCCTGCACTGCTCTGACACTTTAATTAATCACCTTACGCTGCAACACCTGCACTGACAACCACCTAAATCTGCTCTACCATCGTATCTACTGTAGTAAAAGCTCTCTGTAGTTGTCCTGGGACGAGGTGATCATTTGACTGCTGTGGGTTTTTATTCTTATATTTTTATTCTTACACTTAACGTAAAACTTTTAAAAAAATTAATAGCCCGAGCTATTATTTGCTTAAATTACTAAACTGAACAGGCCTATATTTGGGACAGGCCTTTAATTCCTTTCACACAAAACTGTTGCTCAGCAAAGATCATTGCGCCAGTTAATCTGAATAAATTACAGTCTTCTCTGCTGCTCATGGTTTTAGTAAAATGAAATGAACTGAGCTGAACAAAAGTTTGAGTACTTATATTTATGTGTGATCTAAACAGCTAACTAACGTGAGCTCAAGCTGGTAGCCAACAAGATGGTCTGCCAGGCAACCAGACCAGGCCTCTAATTGAGACAGGCCTTTCTTTGTCAAAATGTGTAGCCACACTGGGCTAGTAAAAGAGACTGGACGTTTTATTGGGAGTAGGCTTTTAAGTTTTACGGTACATCCTCTATCCATATGTGTCTATGTGTTTTTGTATGTGTTGTGTAATAAGGTGCTGGATGTCTTAATTTCCCTCAGGATTAATAAAGTATCCATCCATCCACCCAGCCAGCCAGCAAAGCTGATGGATGGATGAATTGAATAATGCTGTAATTTGGTTGTACCATTAAAAAAACACTGAAATAATTTGTGTGTGTCTGTTAGTGATGAACGTACATTCACATGACAGTGCTGTCATAAGAGTACATTAGTCTACATCACTGTGCCACTTTGTAACTGCTGATGAAAACATGAATAAGTAACGTCGTGAAAATGTCAGGGTATAGCATGTCGTCCAAAATGTGATAAAAACGTCATAGTATAGCATGTCGTCCAAAATGTGATAAAAAAAGTCATAGTATAGTATGTCGTCCAAAATGTGATAAAAACGTCATAGTATAGTATGCAGTCAAAAATGTGATAAAAACGTCATAGTATAGCATGTCGTCCAAAATGTGATAAAAACGTCATAGTATAGTATGTCGTCAAAAATGTGATAAAACGTCATAGTATAGTATGTAGTCAAAAATGTGATAAAAACGTCATAGTATAGTATGCAGTCAAAAATGTGATAAAAACGTCATAGTATAGTATGTCGTCCAAAATGTGATAAAAAGGTCATAGTATAGCATGCAGTCAAAAATGTGATAAAAACGTCATAGTATAGTATGTCGTCAAAAATGTGATAAAACGTCATAGTATAGTATGTCGTCAAAAATGTGATAAAAACGTCATAGTATAGTATGTCGTCAAAAATGTGATAAAACGTCATAGTATAGTATGTCGTCAAAAATGTGATAAAAACGTCATAGTATAGTATGTCGTCAAAAATGTGATAAAACGTCATAGTATAGTATGTCGTCAAAAATGTGATAAAAACGTCATAGTATAGTATGTCGTCAAAAATGTGATAAAACGTCATAGTATAGTATGTCGTCAAAAATGTGATAAAAACGTCATAGTATAGTATGTCGTCAAAAATGTGATAAAAAGTCATAGTATAGTATGTCGTCAAAAATGTGATAAAACGTCATAGTATAGTATGTCGTCAAAAATGTGATAAAACGTCATAGTATAGTATGTCGTCAAAAATGTGATAAAACGTCATAGTATAGTATGTCGTCAAAAATGTGATAAAACGTCATAGTATAGTATGTCGTCAAAAATGTGATAAAACGTCATAGTATAGTATGTCGTCAAAAATGTGATAAAACGTCATAGTATAGTATGTCGTCAAAAATGTGATAAAACGTCATAGTATAGTATGTCGTCAAAAATGTGATAAAACGTCATAGTATAGTATGTCGTCAAAAATGTGATAAAACGTCATAGTATAGTATGTCGTCCAAAATGTGATAAAAACGTCATAGTATAGCATGTCGTCCAAAATGTGATAAAAACGTCATAGTATAGTATGTCGTCAAAAATGTGATAAAAAGTCATAGTATAGTATGTCGTCAAAAATGTGATAAAACGTCATAGTATAGTATGTCGTCAAAAATGTGATAAAACGTCATAGTATAGTATGTCGTCAAAAATGTGATAAAACGTCATAGTATAGTATGTCGTCAAAAATGTGATAAAACGTCATAGTATAGTATGTCGTCAAAAATGTGATAAAACGTCATAGTATAGTATGTCGTCAAAAATGTGATAAAACGTCATAGTATAGTATGTCGTCAAAAATGTGATAAAACGTCATAGTATAGTATGTCGTCAAAAATGTGATAAAACGTCATAGTATAGTATGTCGTCAAAAATGTGATAAAAACGTCATAGTATAGTATGTCGTCAAAAATGTGATAAAAACGTCATAGTATAGTATGTCGTCAAAAATGTGATAAAACGTCATAGTATAGTATGTCGTCAAAAATGTGATAAAAACGTCATAGTATAGTATGTCGTCAAAAATGTGATAAAAACGTCATAGTATAGTATGTCGTCAAAAATGTGATAAAAACGTCATAGTATAGTATGTCGTCAAAAATGTGATAAAAACGTCATAGTATAGTATGTCGTCAAAAATGTGATAAAAACGTCATAGTATAGTATGTCGTCAAAAATGTGATAAAAACGTCATAGTATAGTATGTCGTCAAAAATGTGATAAAAACGTCATAGTATAGTATGTCGTCAAAAATGTGATAAAAACGTCATAGTATAGTATGTCGTCAAAAATGTGATAAAAACGTCATAGTATAGTATGTCGTCAAAAATGTGATAAAAACGTCATAGTATAGTATGTCGTCAAAAATGTGATAAAAACGTCATAGTATAGTATGTCGTCAAAAATGTGATAAAAACGTCATAGTATAGTATGTCGTCAAAAATGTGATAAAAACGTCATAGTATAGTATGTCGTCAAAAATGTGATAAAAACGTCATAGTATAGTATGTCGTCAAAAATGTGATAAAAACGTCATAGTATAGTATGTCGTCAAAAATGTGATAAAAAGTCATAGTATAGTATGTCGTCAAAAATGTGATAAAACGTCATAGTATAGTATGTCGTCAAAAATGTGATAAAACGTCATAGTATAGTATGTCGTCAAAAATGTGATAAAACGTCATAGTATAGTATGTCGTCAAAAATGTGATAAAACGTCATAGTATAGTATGTCGTCAAAAATGTGATAAAACGTCATAGTATAGTATGTCGTCAAAAATGTGATAAAACGTCATAGTATAGTATGTCGTCAAAAATGTGATAAAACGTCATAGTATAGTATGTCGTCAAAAATGTGATAAAACGTCATAGTATAGTATGTCGTCAAAAATGTGATAAAACGTCATAGTATAGTATGTCGTCAAAAATGTGATAAAACGTCATAGTATAGCATGTCGTCCAAAATGTGATGAAAACGTCATAGTATAGCATGTCGTCCAAAATGTGATAAAAACGTCATAGTATAGCATGTCGTCCAAAATGTGATAAAAACGTCATAGTATAGTATGCAGTCAAAAATGTGATAAAAACGTCATAGTATAGCATGTCGTCCAAAATGTGATAAAACGTCATAGTATAGTATGTCGTCAAAAATGTGATAAAAACATCATAGTATGTCGTCAAAAATGTGATAAAAACATCATAGTATAGTATGTCGTCCAAAATGTGATAAAACGTCATAGTATAGCATGTCGTCCAAAATGTGATGAAAACGTCATAGTATAGTATGTCGTCCAAAATGTGATGAAAACGTCATCAATCCATGTTGTCTATGGGCCCAATCATGCAGGAAATCTAGGTAACTCTACTCTGCATCACTTAGCCTCTCTAAGCAGCTGTGGCTCAGAGGTAGAGCAGGTCGTCCACCAATCGAAAGATCAGCGATTTGATCCCGGGCTCCTCCAGTTTGCATGTCGAAGTATCCTTGAGCAAGATTCTGAACCTCAAATTGCTCCCGATGGCTGTTCCATCAGTGTGTGAGTGTGGTAAAACTGAGTAGCAGGTGGCACCTTGTATGGTAGCCTCGGCCACCAGTGTATGAATGTGTGTGAATGTTTGTGAATGTGTGAATGTGACTCAGAGTGTAAAAAGCGCTTTGAGTGGTTGGAAGACTAGAAAGGTGCTATACAAATGCAGGTCTATAATAGGAATGAAGCTATAATGAGCTGACAAAGAGACTCATGGGAATGTGGATGCAAACCGTTTATTAGTGACTTCCTGGTGGTCACACAGTCGTTGACCCTGACTGATTTACAGCGACACACTTTAAACAGAACATCCACAGTGACACTGATCCTGTGTTCCAACAACACACTGTCACACCTCAGGGTAAAACCTCTCTCTGTACACAAACACACATCACACAGACACTCAGATACGTTTCTGTTCATGCACACAAACACACACCTTCACATTAGAGTAGGCAGGCACTCGACTCAGTAAACACAAGGACCTGATGTGGACTGCAGGAACTTAAATGTGGTGTCAGTGGGCAGAAGATACAGAGACAGACGTATATGCACACAGACGGTCTGTGATGAGGAGGATGGATCCTGAGGAACACAGGAAGATCCTTCATATGGGCGTTCTGCTTCAGGTGAAGGGTCAGGGGTCATCCTCATACGTGCATATAACACCATCCCTGCATCTCCTGCAGCCCTGCCAACACACTGTAAACTTCATAGTGACAATATCATAAATCAGCAGCAACGTAACAGGCAGACGGTTGCTGTAGTGTGGTTGGTGCTGCTGGTCACTCAACCTGGAAACAGCTCAGTAGTGGTTAAAGATCAACAGTCCCTCCAGGATTCTGCAGGAGTTTTTGGGATAGTTGGGACGTAAACTGCCACATTCAAGGCAGCTTTTCTAAGAGGTTGTAGTGTGAGTTGTGATGTTTTTACGCCTTTTAAAAAAATGGAATTTTGGGAGCAAAGTAAATTGTAAAAATAGTTTTTTTGTAGAATTCATGAACCAGAACCACCACCCTGTGTTATATGGCTTATTACTACTTACTATACATTATTTTATCCTGTTAGACATTTGTGTCCAGATTGGTCAGAAGTAAGAAGTAATTATTGAGTTAGGGACAAAAACACAGTTTGTGAGGTCACAGTGACCTTTGACCACAAAATTTTAATCAGTTTATTCTTTAGTCCCACTGGACGTTTGTGTCAAATTTAAAGAAGTTCCCTTAAGGTGTTTTTAAGATATTGTGTTCATGAGAATGAGACAGACAATTACATTTGAGACGTTCGTGTTGCACGTCTGCATCTTCACAACCAGAAACAATCACAGGAAATGACGGTGATCAGTCAGAGTTGCAGTGATGGGTTGAATTTGCGTTAATTTTTGCAGTTGCAACATCCTGGAGGAAGTGTTTACAGTCTGGACAGACTTCATCAGAGTCAGCTGTGTAGAATAAAAGCCAGTTTAGGACTGTTTCAGTTTGTATCAAAGTGGAACAAGATAAAACAAAAATCTGAAACGGACTGATATGTTTCAGATAAAAGGCTTTGCTGAATTTTTAAATGTGTCACCGAACTATACTCGAGTTCATAAGGGGTTTCAGAATCTGAATTTTGGGAGTTTATTTGGGATCAGTCTCCAAAACAAACTTCAAGTTCATGTTCTGGGCTCAATTCTTAAATCAAACTACTGCCAGATTTGGCTGGAAACTAAGGGCAGC